CGGAGACGATCTGTTTCTTCTTCTTTTTTTTTTAATAATTATTATTTAAATAATAAATATTTTAAACTAAAAGTGACTTGCTAACAACCTAGAAAACTTACAAATTAGACAAATTGCAAGAAAATGGTTAGTTTAGGGATCTAATTGTAGCTTTTTTAGGTTCAGTGACCTAATTGCATTATTGTGTGCGGTTCGATGGCCTATTTGACCCTTATTCCGGAAAAATATAATAGAAGTAGGTATATACTAATAGTGATGAAATCATTACAGGGCGTTTGGTTGGAGGGAATTTAAATTCCATACCCACATAATTTTAAAGGCCACTAAATTCTTTAGTTTGGTTGGAAGGAATTGCAATTCACTCATTTTCATGGAATTAAAATCTCATGCCCCCCTTAGGATTTTAATTCCATAGATTTTAAGAAGAAAAAAAGATAATGATGAGACAAAATTACCCTCCCTTTTTTTAACCTAAAATTGATGCCTATAATAACAATGGACATTTTGGATTTTAATTTATACTACTTATATTCCCTTTCAATTCCCATGTATACCAAACATTCGAATTGAAATTTTCAATAATTTTATTCATGTAAATCAAACACTGGAATTTAAATTCACACTTTATTCCCAGTAATTCCTCTCCCATGAAATTGCAATTCATTTTCCATGTAATTCCCTCCCTCCAACTAAACGCGACGTTAATGTTAAAATTTTCTTAAACAGTAATGAAGTTATAATGGTCTAATGAGTTTTGTCTAACTTATTTTCATGGAGTCCGTCAAAGACTCAAAGGCTTCATTAATGAATGTTTAGACTTTATAGGTTCCCTCCCATCCCACCCCCCACTCAAACGTTGTACAATTGTTCTAATTAAACTTAAGATCATGTGTATTTAATTAGAAGAAGGATTAGAAAAACGTATGACTTTAATTACACTTTGAGAAGTTATGTAAATAAATTACAATTAGACTAACGGAAATGGTGGACTATCCCTAGGGCTGTTAACGAACCGAACGAAGATTGTTCGTGTTTGTTTGTTAAGAATTTTGGAGTGTTCGTGTTCGTTTGTTAAGGTTTTTGAAAATTCTGTTCGTGTTCATTTGTTAAGCGTTCATTAGTATTTGCTAACGTTCGCGAACACGTTCACGAACGTGTTCGTTTACGTTAACGAACATGTTCGCGAACGTCTTCGTTAACATTAACAAACATGTTCACAAACATGTTCGTTAACAAACACGTTCACGAACATGTTGGTTTACATTCATGAGCACGTTCGTGAACCTTTAATAACCAAACACCTGCACATGTTCATGATCACAATTATTTCGTGAACAAGCAATAATCTACGTTCATGTTCGCGAACATTATTAAACGAACACTAAACGAGGTTGTTCACGAACATTATTAAACAAACACAAACGAGCTTGTTCACGAACATTATTAAATGAACACAAACGAGCTTGTTCACGAACATTATTAAACGAACACAAACGAGCTTGTTCGCGATCTCTTAGCAAACGAGCATACAACTGTTCAAGCTCTGTTTGTTTATTAACCGAGCTCTAATTTTTGTTTGTTAATGGTTCGTTTACCTTAACAAACGAACATAAACGAACGCTTACCGAACACGAACACGAGTAGTTTGCCGAAAGCTCTCTTCGCTAACACCCCTAACTATCCCAATTACAAAAAAAATTTAACTCGCTAATGGATAAAAGTTTAGTGGAAGTATGTCATTGGTGCAATTCAATTAATTGTTACAATGATACTGTTTTAGACGTTCTTCTCCCAAAAGGTTGAATCTCCAACCCTAAGTGCCTCCGCACTTTGGCCCGACAGAACATTATATTTGGGAGGATATAAATCACAGTGATGACTCAATGGTTCAGCGAACGTGGCCAAATACCGATGTGCATAAGGAACCACTCTTCTAATGGAACCTTATTAATTAATGACAAATGAGATTGAAAAATGATTATTGTGAAATTCTCTTGGTGTAGAACCAAAAAAAAAAAAAAAAAAAAAAAAAAAAAAAAAAGATTATTTGTTCTTTAAAGGGTGAAATTCTTTTGGTGATTAACTAATTATTTGTCCATACCGACTTAGTTCAATGATCAGTAGACAGTATTTTGGAAAAGTGACCAAGATCTGAATCTCAGCGGCGGCGGTGTAGGGTTATGCCCAAAAAGGGCAAACTCCTTATGCGCATTGGTACTTGGCCCTTTCTGCTGAGTCATTGAGTCACCGTGATTTACATCCTTCCAAATGTTCTGTCGGACTGGGATGTGGAGGGCTCTTGGGGTTGGGGATTCGCCAAGAAGAAGAAGAACAAAAAAATTAACAATGTTACATTATTTAATGTATGTACTTCAAATGAACTTTTTTTTTGGGTGAGACTTTAAATGAACTTTTATTAATTTTGAACTTTTCAATATTTAATTATTGAGTGAACTCTTTTCATAAATTTTTTTATTTGATCAACTTTTAGTGTGATATTTAAAGAATATAATTTTAAAACAGAAAACTTGTATATATACTGAAAATTAAAATATAATGTTATGAGGAAAAAAAAAATACAGAATAACATTTTCCTCCGTCTCTCGTGCACTCATTTACATTTACGTGTGGAAATTAAGGAGATTAGGTCAGAATAGAATTTTGTGTGGAAAATGAGAATGAACACCAATAGATCGAAAAATAATGAACAATTGAGTATCTCTACAGAGAACTACTTATATAAAGTTCATTTGTAATATACTAAATATTCATTTTTAATATATTTTTTAAAGATTTATTTTTTATATATTATTTGTTAAAATAGTTAAGTGAACAACTTAATAATCACAATGTTACTTGTTTAAGTCCCAGCGAGAATGCTCTATTAACATTTAAAAATTTACGAGTGTCCAATAGTAGTTATGAGTTTCTCTGACTTAAAAAAAAAAAAAAAAAAAAAAAAAAAAAAAAAAAAAAAAATCAGTATAAGGGATATATTTTGAAAAAAAAATAAAAATTATTCCATAATATATAATCGGTAAAATAATTAATTGCCGTACATGAAATTAAATGCTCGTAATAAATCATACGATACAAACATATGAACAATATCTTAATTAGGTCCTGAAGAAGGCGAAAAGGGAGACGATGAGAGAGGTCCCGAGCAGAGCACCGGAAACCGGCAAAGACAACCCTGCTCCGACATCAGGCGACGGCGCCGGGGCTAAATCCTGTGCCGAGGCAGAAAACGCTGCGGCGGCGAACACAACAACGAGCACGAAAGCATTGATCACGCTAACTTGCGCCATTTGTGAAGGCGAAATACTCTCGACTCTTGAGATTTCAAGGACTCTGATTCTGTTATGTGGTAGAAATGGAGAAAGGGAGGGGGGTAATTTATAGGGGTAATGGTGAGCTGGACCGGTTGGCAGTGGGTGGCGCCAATAATTGAACCGGGAAATGTATGTGGGCGGTGACTCAATCAGAGTCTGCCACGTTGCGGTTGCTGGTTTGGAATTAGCCAGCCCATGTTCCAGCGTTACATAGTTGGCCTATTCTCTAAAGTTAAGGAAAAGAAGAGATATTCAAAAATCTTAACGAGTTACCTACTCTATTAAGATATCCACACAAAATTGATACGTCTAATAATACTAATACAATTGCAATGTTAGAAAATTGACTCTATATCAAAAAGTTTAGTGTCAAGCATCTTGTGTTCAGATAGCATGTAGTGACCTCTCTCACATGTGGGAGGTCATGATATCGAGCCTTAGTGGATGCGTTGTTGACTCTGTGTGTGCATATGTAATAAAGTTAATAACATTAAAAAAAAAAAATCTACTGAACCATTGAGCTAAATTTGTGCGGGCAAATTCACTATAATAGGAAATTTATATATAAATAGAATGAAAATAAGCAGATATTACAATTTTGATAAAAATAAGCAAAACAATTTTTTTTATAAAAAATCCATAAATTTGAAAAGTGTTTGGAAATTAGTTTTTCCTAATTTTATCCAAATTTTAAAATTTAATCTTTTTGTCTGATTTTATTTCTACATATTTCAGTCAATTTCCCATTATAATTTTGCTGGCTCAGTATGCAAATTAGACATTTTTTTATATAAATTCTTCAAGGTATGGACACTAAGCTATGATCTTGTTATCAAATTATACCATAGACTAGGTTCTACCTTGGATTGTGGATCCTAATTCAAAATAATTTTTAGATTATGTGTCTACAGTTAAAATATTATGTACTTGTAATTAACAATGTGTCTGTAAATAAATTAAAAGTAATATATTAACTACAAATACATAACATTGTAATTACAGACTCATAATATATTAAGCGCAAACATATAATATGATGAATAACATTCTTGATCTAAAATATCATTCAAATTATATGTCTGCAGTTAATATATTATATGTATTCAATTTATTTACAGATATATAAACTGTTAATTGCAAATAAAAAATATGTCAATTACGGAGCGTTATGTTGTGCAACCGTGTGCACCATGCACGGTGCACACGGTTACAAAAACGATGTCGTTTTGACGTCCGACTTAAAAAAAAAAAAAAAAAAAAAAAAAAAAATCAGTTTTGATTACCGTTAATGACGTTATGTTGTGCATAATTTGAACTATATAATTCATTCATTCTGGATATATAGTTCATTCATTCTGGGTATATATAGTTTATTCATTCTGGATATACAGTTCATTCATTCTGGATATATAATTCAAATTATGCACAACATAACACCGTTAATGACAATCAAAACTGATTTTTTTTAAAAGTGGGACACGCGTTTTTAATCAAAACGACGCCGTTTTTACAACATTGTGCACACGGTTGCACGGCATAATTTTCCGTCAATTACAGACACATAATTTTTAAACCAGTGCCCACGCAATATGGACCTGGTCCATGGTATAACAATTGGATCTTGTTGAGATGGGCTTTGTCTTATTAGGCCGAATGGACCGTTCTTAGTACCAACAACAGTCAAACTTTATATAAAAAAGCACAGATTCATCAAACCTTCCCAACAATATCTACACCAATTTTCATAACACAGAGCCCTTACAGTTGTCTGAAAAATGAAAACAAGAAACTCCCTCACATATCCAATCCTTCATTACCAATGAAATGAAACTCTCCATACTCACATTACTAGTGAAACCATGAAAAGAAAAAGAAAAAAAGAACAATCTTTACAAGAGTATTGCAGAAGGGGAAGCCTTGTGGCTACTTCTGTGCTTTCATGAGGGTTTTGGTCAACCAGATTGCTGTTTCCCTGGACGAAACTGCATCTTCCCCGAATGGTTTGAGGACACCATAGAGCTCGTCGATCTTGTCCTGTTTAAGTAGTTGTGCACAGAGCTCGAGAAGTGACTCTAACGCATCTGCTCTTTGTTGAGTTGGATTTCCCCACTCATCCTTGCTCTCGTTAGTCAATGCGGTTAATTTCCTCAGCAATGAAATGCGACTCTGTGCTTGTTCATCACTCATTTGAATGCCATCTTTCTCGTTCTCGAAGGCAACCCTTTGTATTTCCGCTTGCTCTTCACCTGTAGCTGTGCCATTTTTCTTCACTGAAGCACAATCCAGTGCAACTTCTCTGCACAAATCAATGTTTTCAGAGTTTAAGAGCTGTGTAGTTGATGATGATGCACTTTCTTGATCAAAAGACTTAGCATTGGATAATGTCATTCTGCTGGTTTTCTCAGCGATACAATCCACTGCCCCCTCCATTTCCACTTCCCCGTTGCCATTCGTGCAGTTCAAAACCTCCAAATCTTTAGTTTTGTCACTTTCTTCGTCGCCCTCCTCGAAACGTTGGACATGCATGGAAGTTTCTTCCTGCTCCTCGGGGTTGGATTTTGGTGTAACGAAGTCAGATGGAGTTGGCACTTTCAAGCTTTCCTTTTGCAAAAACAACTCAGGGTGTTCCTCCTCGTTACCAGCTGTCTCACTCGTATCCCCAACCAATGATTCCTCGCTATCTTCAGAGATCTTTGCAGAATAGCTTGTTCTATCAACTCGCTTAGTCTCGAGTTTAGCTTCTATTTGTTTACTAGTGCTTGGTAAATTCCTAGGTTGTGCACCCAAGTTCTGATCAAGTGAGAAAACTGGCCCCCGTCTGTCTCGGTTATCTTTGCCACTGCTAGATTTGCTAGGCGAAGGCTTCCCCGTTTTCTCCTTTGTGCTCTTCGGAGACCTAACTGGGAGAAACACAGATGAAGGGTTGCGACATTGCAGAAGGAACTGCTGTAAATGTTGATGCCTCAACAATTCTGCAGCCTGTTATCAAAATTTCCACAAATCACATACTAAATTTATCAACTTTTTTTTTGTTTAAATCACCATTACTTACTGTCGGTCTGTGTTCTGGACTCTTCCTTAGCATGCTCTTTATAATCTGTTTCCTGCAACAATCGAATCAGTTGCACATTAATACGCATTGGCACAGGTGACAAAGAAGAACCGACTTTCTTGAAGATTGGCGAAGAAACTACTTACAGGGTGGAGGAATATATGATAGGAAGTGGCGATAAAGTACACCTATTTATCTTGTTGATGAGGCCAGTCATGTTCTGTTCATCAAATTTTCTTGTTATTGCGGCTAAAGAAAAGAAACAAAGAAACAATTGAATATTGCTGGACGTGAAACTTACAGGAGCTCTAAATGGCGGTTGATGTCCAGCAATCTCAAACATACAGCAACCTACGAAGAAGTAAAGATGACATCTTTGGAACTCGGGACACAATCAAACAAAAAGGGGAGCGCTTTAGATCGATTTCTTACCAAGTGACCATATATCAGATTTATAGCCATAAGGCATATCGGCAAGGAGCTCAGGACACATGTAATTTGGAGTGCCAACCACCTAGGTGAAGTCATACATTAGATTGTGGCTAAAAGGGGCCCAGAACGAAGAAACATTGCAAAATGCGGATAGAAATGATTCATACCGAGGAAGTGAGGTCTTCAGGATCTAGAAGTTTGGCGAATCCAAAATCACCTATAAAAAAACAAATTGATTATAGATCACGGGAAAGGAAATTAAATCAAGCCACATTTAAGCAGTTGGTCATCTTCTTACCAAGACAGACATCATCGTCCTTTGTGATAAAAATGTTGGATAACTGCAGCAGAAGCGAGATATTAGAAACGGTAAACTAAAGAGCTACACCTTCATTGTATAAACTCGTACCTTTAGATCTCTATGAAGGACTCGATTGGAATGTAGATAGTCCACGGCTAGTAATAGCTGTGTCAGCCATTTGCAGAGTTTCTAAAGCACAAAACAAAGAAGAATGTAACATTTAACGATGCTAGTAGAAGATCTCCACTGGTTTAAAATTGCAATCGGTTACCTCTTCGGGGAATAATGCTCCTCGGGATTTTCTCAAAATCTCTGCCCTATTAACCCCAAAAAAGCACATGAAAGTAAATAAGACACTCCTGGTAGTGCTACTTAAAGTCTCGTTTATCTTCCCCGCTAATTTTTTTTCTGTCACTGATATCAAAATATGAACCTAACAGTTACGATTTATGGATCAAACTTACATATCTCTGCCTTCACAGTAGCGGGTGATGAGGCAAATACAGCTGCCCTGAATGAAAACGCACATTTAAGACTTTCAAGGCTACTTAGCAAAGCGTCTCATCCAATAACCCAACTCAAAAGAAAAATAAAAGAATGAAAACTAATGCAATACCTTGTCCAGCCAAGCATCTTTGTACTCCACAATGTACGGGTGGTTTAGTTTAGTAATCAAATTCATCTGTGGTAATACATGCATAAATGCATTTCGTTAATTATGATTTGAGTTAGCAGCTTATAAAAACAACTCTTTTGGTAAAAAATACGGAGTATTTAATAACCTCCTGATGTACTGTCCGCTTAAGCTTCTCTGTCTGTTTTGCCAAAGGAATCTTCTTTAGGACATACCTATAGACAACAAGGCAAAAAGGAAAATATAACGAGAAATCATAAGAATGGGTATTCAGCAAATATAGAAAATACTTATCATAGGCAAAAAGTTTAGAAAATTTCACCACGATTATCTATTGAAAGAACTGACTTGGATCAGTATATTGCAGTATCTAGAGAAAGATTTAGCGGCTACATACAAGTCTAGTTTTGCTAAAAGAAAAGCAGTGAAAGAGTTCCAAATGTGGAAGCACAACTATTTTCAAGAAAAGGAATTATCTTCTTCAAATTGTTCCTGCAAATAGTTTGTATTTCTAGAAGCTTTCTAGAAACATTCATCAGAAACTGACATATACTGGGAACAAAGATGCAAATTTTCTGCATCAAGCAAGAAATTTATAAACCATATAAGCATTTAGCTCAAGTTCATTATGCCATATATACCACAAAACCCCTGATTTATAATATCTGCAACTGAAAAATGGGGTTTAAAAAAAAAAAAAAAGAAGACAAATTGCTTACTTCTTATTCTCAGTTTTATGGAGAACAAGAAATGCTGGTCCTAAAGCCCCTGTGCCAATCTGCTCTATCACTTCATAGTCTTCCATCTTTGACATGGCATCAACACCACTATTCCTCCCCTCCATTGATACTCTGCAGAACCCAGAAGTTTTCACATGAACAAGTGAAAATTACAGGGGAAAAGATTCAATCTTTAAGCTAAAAGAACCAGTTCTTGAACTCACCCACCTCAAATTCAACCAGAAAAGGCAAATCTTTCCTTACACCAGCTGAATTCAAGAGAAGATGCCTCCAAAATGTGGGTTGTTTGCAGCAATAATGAGAGGCTTTTTAAGAGACCCAGTATTGAAGTAGCAACAAAAACCTTCATTCCATAATTATATCAAGCAGCACTAAGCAGCCACCAACCCTTGTATGCTCTACGTGTGTGTTGGGGCCTGGGGGGCCCCAGTGGGGTTGGGGGGGGGGGTAGTCTGTGTACCCTGAATTTACAATCTTTTTGTAACTTGTACGTTCCAGATTATGTAAATTTTGGGAAACAGACGAATTATGACAACTATAAAATTCGAATCGAGATACAACTTGTGAATACAGTAATAACATTTTGCAGGACTTAACGGAATGGTTAATTATATATTTGTTTTGATTAAAAAAAAATGGTGATATTAAGTGCATAATACGGCGTATGCAGACAAAGTAGAAGTTCATTTACGAGATTTTGGATTTAAAAATAAGCAATTGGGAAAAGTGAGTGTGTGAAGCTGAGTGACAGATGAAGAGTAACATAATAGATTAATAGCTTTGCTTGCATTTCCAGAAATCTGAAAGGGTGGAGAAGAAATCGCTTATTCCATTAGGTTACAGCTACAATGTCACCATTCCCAACTAAATCTTTATTTTGGAATTATCCACTTACCTAAAAGAGTGTTATGAGTATGAAGAATTAAACTCGTAATATTGCTACAAGAATTATGTTTTGTCTGCTTAATCAGTCTTTAACTCTTTTTTATCTACAAAATGTTAAATCTCTTGTCCCGAGATTCATACACCAACTTAATATGATTTGTGAAGATAGTAGATCACGGTAACTCAATTGTCGAACTAGTATCTAATGCCCATCACATTAGGTGTAACTCTCACACTGTGATTGTCAAAGAGTTGGCTCATTTTTTTTCGAACAAAATTTTCCATCCATCGTATATTCATATCTTTTCAAAATTTATTCCAAGTACACAATACATACTAACAAATTATTCCATACATCATATCTTGTGAAAATTTATTCGAAAACACAGCTCAATTAGCAGAGCCGGTTTTTAGATTTTTGTGGCCTTGTTGGGGTAAATAAATGAGGTCCTGCCAAAATCAAAATCTTTAAAACTAATGGAGTAATTTTTTCTAATCTATGCTATTCTAATCAAATATCAACCAAGGAAAAGCATATTCGGGGAGACCGTTTCTCTCTAATGTAGAAATAGTCCCCCATGTCCGTTTCTGCTCATACGAAAATTTTTAGTAGTGTTCTGCATTGATACGTATTCACACGTATTTGAATGAATATTTAGCAAATTTTGAAAGGATTAAAGAAATAGTAACAATTTTATTATCTAAATATATAATAAAAAAAATTTATCCGTGCATCGCACGTGCATTGCACGCACACTGCACGGATAATTGGGCAATTATTTGCTCGAATTCAAGAAAGGATAACATCAAAAAACATAATCGATACAACCATTTAATCAATTGCACTATATAATATTTGTTGTTATAACTTATATTTGTATATTGATCAAAACATTCTTAAAGATTATAACAAATCTATTCCGTGCAACGCATGAGTAAAAATACTAGTAATAATAATAATAAGGTGGTAAAATGTTACTGTATGCAAAGATAAGTTGGTAAAATATTACTGTATGCAAAGAAAAAGTAATGTGCACAAGTTTTGAACTTAGACCTCAAAGTTGAAATATAGGTTTCACAATTTTTGAGGTCTTATCACTTTGGTGTACGACATTAAATTTTTTCAATTTTGGTGCCTAACTTTGTTATTTTTAACAATTTTGGTTCTTTCAGCCAAATTAACGGCAAAATGTTGTCGAATTTTATATTTTAGGGACAAAATCGTTTTTATATTTTATTCTCTTTTTTTTTAATCGTTAGGAGTCTTATTGAAATTGACATATGAATGGAAGATGCATGCAGTTGTTTTTTCCATATAATTTATTTTTATAGTAAATTGGGCAAAGATACAAATTAAGATTATTTCACGTGCATTCAATTAAGATTCTTCTACTAAGTTACATAATCTATCCAATTCTATTTATATCATTGAGAATATACTTCGGATATACCATCCTACACTTTTTGTTCATCTATTCTGTATTGAGTACTATACGAATCAAGGGCCTTTATAAAGAGCCCTAGCCCTTCATTCAAAGGGAGGCAATTTCAACATTTCACTACACTCAAAGGGGATCCCTTTCTCTTCCCCCTACACTCTCTTTAGTCTCTACTGGAACCATTCAATAACAAGAGTGAATGAAACAGGCTTCTTCCGTAGTAGAAGCAAGTATTTACTACATCACCATCCATTATCTCATTCCCACTCCATCCTCCCCTATCTAAATCTCTCATCACTTTTTCTTCAAAATGCCAAGTGTGTTGATCATTGTGGGTTGCATTTTTCTGTCCATCTCCTTAATTTCAATGGTAATTTTTATGTGTGGAGACTCTTTTGCCACACACGACAAACAGCCTCTGGAGATGCGTAAGCGTAAGAAAAGATACTCCACCGGTAGCAGTGGCGTAGGATAACTGGGTGGTGCTGTGTGCGTAAGTGGCGGTGGAGGGAAGGGCCGGTTTTTATATTTTTGTGGCCCTGTTAGGGTAAATAAATGAGGCCCTACCAAAATCAAAATCTTTAAAACTAATGGAGTAATTTTTTCTAATCTATACTATTCTAATCGGAAACAAAGGAAAAGCATATTCGAGGAGACCGTTTCTCTCTAATGTAGAAACAGTCCCCCATATCCGTTTCTGCTCATACGAAAATTTTTAGTAGTGTTTTGCATTGATACATATTTACACGTATTTGAATGACTATTTAGCAAATTTTGAAAGGATTAAAGAAATAGTAACAATTTTATTATCTAAATATATAATAAAAAAATTTATCCGTGCATTGCACGCACACTGCACGGATAATTGGGCAATTATTTGCTCGAATTCAAGAAAGGATAACATCAAAAAAACATAATCGATACAACCCATTTAATCAATTGCACTATATAATATTCGTTGTTATAATTTTATATTTGTATATTGATCAAAATATTCTTAAAGATTATAACAAATCTATTCCGTGCAATGCACGAGTAAAAATACTAGTAATAATAATAATAAGGTGGTAAAATGTTACTGTATGCAAAGGTAAAGTGGTAAAATGTTACTGTATGCAAAGATAAGGTGGTAAAATGTTACTGTATGCAAAGAAAAAGTAATGTGCACAAATTTTAAACCTTAGATCTCAAAGTTGAAATACAATAAACACATATTCCTACCATTTCTTTATGAAGCCTTTTAAATTTAATTAAAAACCATTTGTTTTTATTTCGAAACTAACTATGTAAAAATAAAATATTAGGCTTCTCAAATTTGGAATCCTGTACGGTAGCTCAGCTTGCACAGTCCAAATTCCGAACCTGTTAATTAGTTAAGTAGAGTAACGATTTACTTACACAAGCATACAAGGACTATAAAAAACTTAAAACCTCTGCACTAATCTTTAAATTTAAAGTGTAAACTTTTATCCTTAATTATTATCATCTTTAAAGATTATATTAATATAAAAAGAATAATAAGAGCATATTTGACTCATCATGACAATAAAATTCTATAATATTCTAATTTTACCATTGTTAATTTAACTGAGTATTTTGGATAAAATTAAAGTAATAGTGTACTTTCTTCTCAAATCAAAAGTAAAAAATGTTTAATCATAGAATAATGAGATATGGTATCAAAATCACAGGGATTAAACGTCACAGTGGCAAGCAGCCAAGCACCTACCAAATAAAAATTTAAAAAAATAAAATAAAATAATTGGATGGTCTAGATTCTTCTTATTGTCCGACAAAGTCGGTGTCAGAAAAGGCCCGAGAGATCTCGCTGCTGACTCGTAACTACGTCGTTTTCTTCCGTATCATACACTAGTTTTTTCAATTAAAAAAAATAAAGTAGTGAGAAAAAGAGTTGTGTCGGTAGAAAGAATGCTTTATTTCCCACAACCAAGAAGAATCAACATTTTATCAAATGCCAATTGCTTTTGCAAAAATAAAAATAAAAAAATCAAATCAAATGCCAATTGCCATTTGCCAACTTGGGTGGACCGTCGGTCACCCCTCACCACTGCAATTTTATTCGTTTCCACTCCAATATTACTTCCCTACGTAAAAAAAAAAAAATAAAAAAAATAAAAAAGAATTACTTCATCCCCGTCTCATTTTATGTGTTTAATTCAGTTAACGAATTTTGATTAAAATTATTTTTAATTTAATTTTTTATAATATTAAATTTAATATTAGTATACAGGATTTATATATTTAGAAGCTACACTAAAAGTACTATTAAACACAAAATTCAAATTTAAAATAAATAAAAATAAACAAAGAAGAAAGTAGGATAGAAAAAATGGACGTAGAGAGTAATATGAGAATATTGAAAATTCTAATCTAAGATGTTTGGTGGGTGGGGTAGTGAATATGAGAAGAATATTGAATACCATCCACAGGAAGAAATAGGATGTGGAGAAACGAAGACAAAATAGTATGGATTGGCATGCATATTATATATATATACATATATATAGACAAAAGATGAGCAACCAACATATCTGACCCTACTATTAGCAATGGTATCTTGAGAAAGCAAGAAAATCTAAAAATGGACCATACAAAATGATAAACCACTAGCTTCACTTCATGCTCTTTCTTCTTCTCCTGTCAAATAATTAAAATGACTCCATAAAGTACATGTAACACAACATATCCATTTGAGAAGAAGGTACAAACCCTGGTACTGTCATTATCTCCCAGCCTGAGACTGATATCAAACACATCTTTCTTTCAACATTTACACTACCCTAATATTCATCACTCAAATATTAACACTAGATAACCAAATACTATAATAGAATTACTTCCGCGTGGATTTCTTCTTGCTCTCAAGTTTCCGCCTAGCAGCTTCAAATTCTTCTTCACTGGGCTCGGGGGTAGATTGATCACCACCATACTTGCTCGCAAGGGATGAGAACAGAGAATTCGTTTTGTCTCTTTGCTCATTTTGCCGCTGGGAAATTATAGCGTATAAATCTTCAGACCCT